GCAGAGAGAGAGGGAGACACAGAATCCCAAGCAGGCTCCAGTCTCTGAGCTGTCAGCACAGAGCCCGATGCAGGGCTCAAACTGGGAACCTCGAGATCATGACCTGAGCCAAAGTCAGAGGCTTCACCAACTGAGCCATCCAGGTGCCCTTCACCTGGGTTCTATCTTAATAACAAACTGCTTTGATGACAAGGATTCAAAATTAAATCAGCATAAAGCTTAAGATGAACACAATTATACATTTTCTCAACTGAATCCTGGCAACTATGTGCGGGATGGAGTCAATGGCTGGTACCAGAAGGACAGAGAAACAATTTCAAGAGTAAAGAATAGAATCCAGTATTTTAAACTTTCGATCAGTATGCTTTGGATCCTCAGGAAAATTATCTACTGGCCATGGCTTTAGTTAGTAAAACTGAAAAAAAAAAATACTGCTAAAGTAATAACAATTAAACTATGCAAAAACAGAATCTATTTGCATCCTGTTGAGGGGCTCAAGGACTTGGGGGGGGATTGTCTTATTTTAAATATTGCTGTTGGAAAACAAGTCATAAGACGTCAAGAGAGATCAATATCTTTTCTTCAGAAACTGGCAAAAGCGACTGAAAGCCAGGCTTAAGAAATTCTCATTAGTAACATAACTCAGCAAATTATGGTTCCATCTTGTCCTCTTTTCCTCAAATTTCACACAGTAAACATTTCTATAGAAATGAATCCTATAGTGTTATATTTTCTGAATAGTTTGTTCTGAAGAACAAACAACATTTATATTTTCACTCAGGGTTTTCAGAGAAGATTTTGAAGAGACAGAGAAAAAGCGGAGACAATTGGAACTTGCTTCAGTTAATACCTTAAGTAAAGTGACTTATTAACGCTAATTTCAAATGGCTTCCTCAGTGAACAATTATTGTAATTTTTTTTCTAGAATTGACTAAATGTTGCATACCTTGAGTTTTTTATTTTTCAAATTTTCCAGTATTTTTTTTTTTTAAATATTAGAGCAATTGACAATTTTTCCTAAAACCAGCCACTTTGCCTCACTGGTAACCGCTGCAGTTTTGAATCGTTTATTTATTCTGCCACTAAGTGTTGAAAACATGGGGAAATGGGGCCACTGGGGCCACATTTCTAACCACTCTGAATTGATTTCCAGTTTTCAGGATTGTGCTAGTCTATCTCAGATAATATGCCTGAATAATTCTGCATGAATTCTACTTTGGCAGTCCACCAGCTAGCCTTAAATTCCTCCAGGGAATACTAATAACTTTCTGGTTCTCAGGTAATGTAAGGTCACCAACGTTGCTTTTGTATTATTCTTTAAAAATGAGAATGCACGTACATTTTACACAACCTGCTCTGTGTTGAAAACAAAGTACCATTGAGCACAAACAGCTTGGAGACTTGGGCCTCCAGCTTATTTTCCTTGATTCAGCTTTGGGATCACCATTATGAGCCCTGGCCTTTGGGTGGTGGGTGAGGGTTTGGGCACTGTGGGTCCCTGGGAGACCCACAGGCCGAGAGGAGACCCGGCAAGCATTACTGCTTTGGCATCTCGTTTCTCGAAGAAATGAGTCAACCCATTCTTGAACATCATAGGCCTTTTCTGTTTTCCTTCCTTGCACTGGGGAGGTAGGGCATACAGGCAAATCAGCCAGACCCCAGGGTTCTGTACACCCCAAGGAAGCTGAGAGGGCATCTTGGGGGGTCCAACCCTCTCTGTCAAGTGGGTCGTTCTCACTCACCCACGCTGCCAGTCTGTCACTCCAAGATGTGGACCCACTCTGCGCAAAGCAGAGCGTTGCTTCCTAATTTCTGCTTTCGGCTGCCCACGGAAAATGCCTAAAGATCTCGACCCTTCTTAGGCGCCTCCACCCGGGTGAATTTCTCCCCAGACTCCACCGCTCCGCATGGCCGCTTGACCCCATTTCACATTAAATGTGCCGAGCACACGCCCTTAGGACCTGGGTGCACTAATCAGATCCATCTGTCTTTGCAGGGCTTCACCTGAGCGCCCGGGGCCCCGAGCGCGGCTGAGCTGGACGGGTGGTCGGGTCGGGTGGGGGGACCTGAAACCCACAATCTGGCTAGGAGGCTGAGGGGACGCAGCCCGCGGCGCTTCTCCGGCGCAGCCGCCGAGTGCACCGTCCAGTCTTAGGCGGGGAGGACGCCCCCTGGCGCCCCCGCCGCCGCGGACCGGGGGAGCTCCGGGAGCAGGCGCGGGGCGGAGCCTGTCGGGCGGGATCTTGACGTCCGTCCAAGGCCGGGTGATTATTGGGGGCTGCCAGCGCCGCGGCCGCCCCGAGCCCTCTCAGTGTGGTGCTGCCCGGCGGCAAGGGGGTGGTGGAATGAAGCATGGTCAAGACAGAAAACAAAGTCAGCAGGTCACCTGGCAGGTTCTGAGCGAATTATGCAACGGAGCCGGGGGAATGTGTGATGCGTTCCGGGCCCCTACCCCCTCCCCCCCCCCTTTTTTTTTTTCCTTAAGCTCCTCGGAAGCCCGTTCCAGTTTAAAGGTTGGGCCGGGATCGACGGAGGATCTCTTCTGATGTGGTTACGACTTTGCTGAACTCCTCAAGAGCGATCCTCCCACCCCAGCTTTCTTCAAGTAAAGGGAACATTTCTTTGGGAAAAAGAGATGGGGGGGGGGGGGGGGGGGGGGGGGGCGGGGCGGGGTGGCAGGCTTGATCCAAAAGCGAGGCCGAGAATCAGTCTACAACTTCCCTAAAGTACTGGGTCGAGCATTAGTCCAAGATAGAACACTGTACCCTAAATTAAATCATCTCCACACACAATTCCTTATCCCCTGGGCCTCAGGACTATGACTTCAAAATTCTGCCTTTAAACAGAATTTAAAGAGTTAAAGCTGGCCATAGCTCGTCGTTCTTCATGCTAACATTTGTGGCATTAGGACTATTTTGTTAACTAGGTATATGCAATTCACAGAATTTCACGGTAAATTCCCCAGACCAAATATTTGGCTGAACAAATAAACAACATTATCCATTCCTGAAAATAAGCCAGTAGA